GTAAGTAAGTAAAGTAAGTAAGTAAAGTAAGTAAGTAAGTTAAGTAAGTAAAGGAAGTTAAGTAAGTAAGTAAGTAAACTAAGTTAAGTAAGTAAGTAAAGTAAGTAAAGTAAGTAAACTTTATTTCTATGGCACCTTTCACAGACACAAACATCACAAAGTGCTTCACAGACAGCAAAAATAGCTAAAAACAATAAAACAGACAACAGATATAAAAARCAACAATTAAAACACAATAAAAAGCACATTAACTAAAAGCCTGTCTGAATAAAAATGTCTTAAGATGTTTCTTAAGAGTCAGTAGAATCTGARCAGCGAAGGTRGGATAGGAGCGTCATTACTGAGGTTTAAATCAGGCTTTCTGTTTCCTCCGTTATCTTTCAGGTCCTGTCACGTAGCTCAGATTGTAAAGAAATAAAGACCATAAACTTTTTGTTTTTATCATTTAATCTCTGAGTTTCTCTTTCCTTATGAGACTTAGACGCAGCAGCCTCTTGTATTTATTTTCACAGAGAAAGTCACAACATTTTACTCTACAGACTGAATTTCTCTACGAATAAAAGTTTCAGTAGCATAAATCAAGTACGCTTCTGACAAAATGTTACAATTTTTATTTTGTTTTTTTGTCCTTATTCTCTTATGTTTATAACTCTCAGCAGATGGCCATGCTGGAGGTGACGCAGAAGAGGAAGGTAAGACAACATCTGTTGAAATTAAACTCTGAAGTTTCATRAAAATAAGGATTTTTACAAAATAAAAATGACATTAGATTTACTGATCTCAGGATTCTGTCTCTGCTGTTGATGACATCATCCTCAGCGTAATTTAAAATGACCTTTAGATAGGGTGAAACGTTCAGTTATCTGGAAGAGACGCTGCTCCTCCACGTCGAGTAGAACAAGTTGAAGTGGTTCTGGCAATTGGGAGGAGACCCCAGGAAAGACCCACGACACACTGGAGAGACTATGGACTATGGATGGACAAAACATTAAGAGATCACTGCTGAATTTTCTTAACATTTTTTCTTTCTTTTTTGTCTGCAGACCACAAAGAGACCACCGCAGAAGAGAGTAAAAAAAGTAAGACGCTTGATGAATCACAAAGTTGAACTTATTTGCCTACAGCACTCTTGTAGACTACAGAGGTCCTGCAGATCCTTAAAAAATCTTAAAAGTCTGAATTCAGCAATCCAAAATAAGGCCTTAATTAGCCTTAAAATGTCTTAAATCAATCTTTCAGAAGTCTTAAAAATGTTAACACATTGTACATAGGATGATTGTAATTCATCTCAAATGTTGAAATAATTGGCAAAAGTGTTTTTTAAATATTCACATGCAGACATTCCCCTTTGACATCACTTCCTGTTATTTCACAGGCAAATACCTCAACTGTCCATCTGAGCAATGTGAAATTTGTTTTGTAATATGTTAACATTATCTTTCCAAAAATGCGTTCACTTTTCTTACAAAAAAATTGGTGTCACGGGCACTTTAAGGTTTCATCTACAGCAAATTGGGGTTGAGACCCCACTGTGGGTCCTAAAACTCCAAATTTTGGGTCGTTAGAGGATTTCCAGAAATTAAATTAAGTTTAAAACTGACTGCTAAGAATGTTTCTGCTACAGTTAGATATGGATAAAAACAATTGGTCTATCAGCAATAATTTAATACTTAAACAAAAAATACATTGGTTTATGAGTTTCTGCTAGTTTTTTGTCATTTGGGTTTATTATGAAATTGGTCTTAAATTTAATTTCTTTTGGCATTAAAAAGTCTTAGAAGGTCTTAAATTTAACTTGAMTTAAACTGTAGGAACCCTGGACTAAGTTGTCAAACCAACTCAGTCCTTTGTTTTACAACAGGACTTTAGCCGTTAAAAAAAACTGCTCCAGGACCAGCATACTGCCCAAAATTAGTGTTTATGTTTACAAATTGTGGCTCTTGGTGCAGAACTTCAAAGTATATACTGCAGCCGATTACTCCAAAAAAACCTACTGAGCGATGGACAACAGACCRGGATTTTCACATTCTAATATAATCTAAACAATGGGCCCCATGCAAGAACCGTTCATATGAACAGATTTGTTTTTAAGTTGTGCGTATGAGTGATTTAGGAGAACTTATGGCATTCAACAATTTTTTCGTTTTCAGATACGAACAAAATTCACAAGTGTTCCAGATCTGTTATATATTTTACGTACGGTCAGTCTGCTGTTATCCACAGGGATTTTCTTCACAAATAACTTAATAATAACTTAATAATGTAGCCTAACAACATAATTTAAATAGGCTATTAATGCTATTGTAAAACACTACTATAAAAGAGAGAAATTTAGGATAAGCATACAAAAATGTTCTTGCATGAGGCCCATTGTCTTAAATACCATCATAGACAGAAAGGCGTCACTAAGAACCCACCGTCCTCCCCCAGCACGATACAAAACGTTCTTTAGAATCCTTGACCTGGATGATTTTTCTCTCCAGGTGCTGAACCAGAAGCAGCGGCGTTAAACGGCAGAGGTGAGCTGATTGTGACTCACGTGCTCGTCTTGTGTAGGCGCCTGGTTTGTTAATCACACTTCATTTTTATTTTTATTCTGACAGATGACAGATTCAAGTTACGCTGTGAAAAATGCAAAGCCATTCACCAGGTGAGCTCAGGAAGGAGATTTTACTGGTTTGGTCGCTGCAGCAGACAATAGTTTGTACAGTTTTAAAACGAGATTTAACAACAAACGGACAATTAAGAATTTACAGTCTTGTCTAAAACCTCATTAAAAACCATAAAAACTGTAGCATTGTTATAAAATAAGGATAAATCAGGCAAAAGCATCAATGTCCTCTTAAGACTATTTCCCATTTATTTCTGTCGGTTTGATCTAGACTGCTGTCAGGGAGTGACAGACACAGATGTGAGTTTACCGTGGTGACCTGAATTAGCCACTAGCAGCAGCTTTAGCGTTTGTTTTGATCTTGTTTCTCTTTACTCTTTCTATTCAGCGATTACATTAAAATGTTGGCATTTTGTCAGCATAGATATCAAGTTATAATTGAGCTCTACAGGAAAAAATGATTTGAGKATTTTGGGCAGGAACTGCATCCATTAAAACACCCTCAGAAATGTTCCACTTGTGTTTTTATAAAYGTGTAAAAAATAAAATAAAATAAACTGTTGTTTTTGACAGACCCACGGCAGTGAGCTTGTTACACCTCAGAGGCTCTCAAAGGGACGATTTCAGTAAGTGAGACATCCTGTGTGTCTGAAGTGTCCCTGTAGATCTGATGAGTGAGCAGCATCACTCATTGTGTGTGTGTGTGTGTGTGTGTGTGTGTGTGTGTGTGTGTTTCAGGTTGCCGCTGGAAGCAGAAGGCACTTACGAGTGCTCTGTCACCGGCCTGGTGTTTGAAGCAAGTGAGCGGGTTCTCGTGCGGTACTCTGTCCTGTCTTGGTCCAAATTTGGCGCCTTCCTGCCGAACTCGTGGAAATGCGCCGGACCCATCTTCAACGTGGACACGGTCAACAAAGACGCATCCGTCCTCAAGTCCATCCAGTTTCCTCACTGCATCTGYTTGGCTCGTAAGATCATGAAACTCTGTTTCGGTAATGAAACGTATCGAAACAGTCGTCATAAAAAATGCTTTTTTTATCTCCTTCGTCTTGACAAAGATCCAGAGGAGGACATGACGTTCAGCGTCCTTCACATAAAAGACAACCGCCCGCTGATCGAGCCCACCTCGGACCACACAGGGAGCCACGTTAAGTGGAACGTGAGCTCCCTGTCGCCCGTGGGTCCCATCTTTCGGACGAGCCAAGCCGTGGAGCACCACGGGGTGGTGCTGGTGTACAAGCAGCTCTGCAGCGACGCAAACAGCTACAGCTTCCACGTCTACCTGGCCACCAACAGCGCGTCGGACATCAAGGTGAGTGTCTGTGAAACCCCAGTCTCTGGTATTTTCAGAAAGCAACCACCATTAGCTGCGTTTCCATCGCAAATGTGCGCAAAACTTTGTCGATGTTCTGTTAATGTCGGAAAAACACAGTTTCGCAACTGCTGTGTTTCCATGTAAGAAATGCTTTTAAAGTCACGCGTGAACACGCTTGTTCTCGCGATACGTCATTACAAACATGGCGGCAATGGATGTAAACAAAGCACATTGCTACCATGACACTAGCGCTCATCATCAGCCATCAGGAGACGTCGTTGTCTTATCGAGGCTTTCGAGCGACAAGACTCTTACACTTGGGAGCGTCTACGTATGCTACGTTTTTTGGGAAATTGTAGTCGGTGAGTTTACTACTTTCTTTTACAACTTCAGTGATTTTATGTCCTGATGCATCTCAGTAATCCAGTGATTTTACTATTACTTCTACTTCCTGTTGTCTTCTTCATCATCTTTTTGACTGTAGAAACAGCCGGTTCTTGATCTTGTGACTCCCATGATGTGAAAAATGTGTTTCCATTGCAGTTTTGCGAAACACACCAATGTCGATACGGCTGAAAAACCACCTCATCCTAGTGCAAAAACATTTTGTCAAACGACACAAGTTTTTTTTTTCGAAATTGACGTGTTTCCATTGAGCAAATTTCTTTTCGAAATTCAAATTTGCGCATTTTCATATTCAGTGGAAACGCAGCTACTTTGAAACAAACAATGCATTTCTTGAAAGTTTCACTTTACGGCACCAGTATTTCTTYGTTTGGCCTCCTTTACTGCTGGAAATTAGGTCAGATTTTTCCAAACAGTTTGTGGTTTCAGGTTCCTGTTTTATTTTWAATCTGCAACAGATGATTAGTGGAAGCTCCTTTTAATCTGTAATTTACACAACAGTGCACTGACTAAGAAACAAACTCTAGCTTTTGTTCACTGTTCCCCAAATTTACAGCAACAAAATCCTGCAGTTACAGTATTTGTCCCAGTGTTTGGGAAGGTTTTAAATGTCTGGATATTCACATTAATTCAAACCACATTTCCTTTCTAGCTTCTAAAAAAACCTTCCTACAGTTAAAATTGAAACCTTTTTTTTTAAATGCAAAATTTGTGTTTTAATTGAGGAATTTTCTCCACAGAGTTGCAAATCAAAAACAAAACAGGAGCATGGATTAAAAAAAAGCCCTCATTGCAGCAGCTGCACAAAGAAACATTCCACTCATGAGAGCATGAGCAGTGATGTTTGGCGGATGAAACTCCAGCAAAATGCCTCACCTTTAAGGCTGCTTGTGTAAAAATAAGAGTGAAGTTGGACGCTGAGGGGAACTTTCACTTTTTGTTTGAAGCTGCAGCAGCTTCGGTGTCGTCATCCCTCACAGAACATAGAGCAGGTGTTTTTTTTAGGCCAGTGTAACACAACCATCGCTGGTTTTACTGGCTGCAAACCACCTGCCTGATGGGAATGCTGAGCAGGAATGGGGGTGGAGGTAAATCACTCGAAGCTTTTCTAAGAACAGGCCGAGTGCATCACACAGTTCTGACTGCCTGATGTCAGTAAACAGAGCAGCTCTGAAATCATACAGGAAGTGGGATTGTGGTTGCGTGAGCCATGTGTGCTCAGGAGGACCCAGATGATTGATTAGTAATTGTGCTACATGAATTTTAACCCACAAGGAAAAATGCCAGTTTCTGAAATATGTAGTCATTACTGTTTCGATATTATTTAACATTTCCGTCACGTGATGTTTTCTTGCTCTCAGCTGAACTCGTAGTCACTTTTGTTTTGGATGCCTTTAGTGGAAGTTTTTCTGCAATGGTTGGGACGTTGYGTAAAATGTAAATAAGAAGAGAATGCAAAGATTTACAAATCAAAGAAACACATTTTATTCACAATGGACCATTTTTTTTAGATTCGATGGCAGGAAAACATCTAAAAAAATTGGGACGTTAGGAATAAAAAGAAGTGAGCAGTAAGAACAGGAAACAGCTGGAGGAGCGAGGAGGCCAGTCAATAAAACACACGGGTATAAAATCAGACTATTTTCAGAAACAAAGATGGATCTTTGTCTAAAAATAGAGGAACAATTTCAGAATGTGTTCCTTAAAGACTATTTCATCATCTACAGTTCAAAAATATTGTCAAAACATAAAAGAGAAAACTAAATCTGGAGAAATCTCTGACCTTAGAAAACAAATATGTTTGGTGGGGATGAGTGAAGAATCCAAACAAGTGGGGGCTTCAAAYGACATTGAGCCCAAACCTTCGTGTTCATCTGATAAATGCCTCCCCAAGAATTATTTTCTTTTGAGTGCTCAGAGCCAGGCAGTGGCCTAAGTAGTGCAAAAGAGGTCTCTAATTCAACACCACAGGCATCACACAGACTATTGCCATGGAGTCCCATGCTTTTTGTGGTGGTTGAGCAGCTTGTGGCCCAGCGTAAAGCTTTCCTTGTCAGGGCGATGAGAGCTTTCCCAATCCTAAGATTTGGGCCTGAGCTATAGAAGGCAAAGCTGTAATTAAATATTGGGTGTTAAACAGACCGAGCGACAAAGAAAACTGTTCTGTGGTCTAAAAAAAATCAAAACGTCTTACTCTTTTCAAAAACCACAAACATCACGTCCTCCGTACTAAAGAGATGAGACCATCCGTCTGTTTGCACACATTTCAAAAGCCTGCCTCTCTGATGGCRTGGGTGTGCATTAGTGCTTACACATCTAAAAACCATCTTTGTTTTTAGGATGTATTGTTGCCATTAAATTCAAAATCACCTTTTTTAAACTAACAATCATTTAATTTCTTAGCTTAAACATCTGATATGTTCAGTGTTCCACTGTAAATAAAATAATTTGTTTTTTATTTACATTTTAAACTGTGTCCCAACTTTTTTTAAAATTTTTTTTTATCTGGGTTGCATTTTAATTGCCAACAAACTGACTTGCTTCCTCTTGTCTTCCTGCTGGGCTGCTGTGAATCAGGATATAGGCAAACAAGTGCGGGCCTGCAAGAATCGTTAYGTTAGGATCGATAAGCCTCCCACGTGCAAACTGGACGAGGGGACGTATCGTCTCCTGAGCGAGCCGGAGGGAGAGATCAAACCTCAGGTGTGTCTCGTTCTAACCAGTCGCTGCAGCATGCCGTCATTTTGTGACTCTTGGGTCCGACGGAGAATAAAACTCCTCTGCTTGTTTTTGTTTGTCCCCCACGCAGGACCTAAAATTCACCCTGGCAGTGACCAAGATGAAAGGCTATTTCGAAGCTTTCTTTGAGCAGCCGCCTCCTTTTAAATTATCTCTAATAGAGATTAACTCAGAACAGACTGTATGGGATGTCACCATCAGAGAAGGTACCAGCACATTTGGGCTCAACGCCAAGACTTCATTTATTAGACAAATWAACATCTTTTCGTGCTGTTTCCTCTCAGGTGACTGTGTAAATAACACAGAAAAGAAGCCGAGGAAACGAACAGAGTGTATGTTTCTTCTTTCACTTAGAAGCAGATTTTCCAATCGAGTTTTCAGCCTCTGCAGGGTGACTCACGTCGTATTGATCTCTGTTTTGCAGCAGGCAGGAAGAGGAGCAGCAGCCCCTCAGAAGAAGAAAYTGCCTGCAAAAGGCCTCGATGGCAGGATGAGTCAGGTGACTTTGCTCTTCTTTTGACCAGTGATTTGTTGAATTGCCAAACTAGATCTTTATCCAGAATAAAACTGAATCTAAGTAAGTAAGTAAGTATTTATTTATTTATTTATTGCCCTCTCTTTCTTCAGATGGGGTAAGCGCAGTGACGACTCAGTGTCAGGACTTGTCAGAGAAGCAGCTGCTGCGGGTAGCCAAGCAGCTCGGGACGGAGTGGAAGCAGGTGGCCATCTACCTYGGCCTGAAATCCCGGGAGCTGGACGACATCCAGGCGGTGGAGAAAGATGTGAACATGCAGAAGCTGAAGATGCTGGTGGAGTGGAAGAGCCGAAGGGGGTCGGGCGAAGCCACAGCGTCCCACCTGTTGGAGAGTTTGGAGGAGCTGGACGACTTACCCAAYGAGGTTTATCAGACTCTGAAAGGTACAGCCCAGCTGATATACAGAAGAGTACATTATAACACTCTTCAATACATTATATAATGCAATCTGATTATATATCAAATATATGATTCAATACATTATAATATATTATGTAAAATCTGATGTAATACAGTACAAAGCATTATAATATATAATATAATAAAATGTGTTATGATGAAATGTATCTCCCACTGGGAGGAGACCCAGAGGAAGACCCAGGACACACTGGAGGGACTGTTTGTCAGCTGGCCTGGGAACACCTTGGGATTCCCACAGAGCAKCTGGCCCAAATGGCTGGGGAGAGGGAAGTCTGGGTTTCTCTGCTTAGACTACTGTCCCCATGGAAGAAAATGGATAAATGGATGGATGAAACATACAATTACAATGCTACGTGATATAAAATGTGGCACAATGCTTTAAGATGCTGTATGAATACAATATTATATAGCAGGGCTATTCAACTAAATTGCTCTAGGGTCCAAAGTTACTGCAGGCCAACAGCTGAGGGGCCGAACATCCAGCAATTAAAGTCATTATGTAAATAAACTAAGTATTACAAAGATCTGTTACCTTTAARTTAGTTTTGCTGCTTTTAATCATGAATACAACAAATAGAAAAGAAGTGATATTAAAACAAAACCAAAAACAATTGACACATATTATTTTGACATATTTAACTTGCCACATTTTTAAACCAATTTTATTTTCACTTATCTTAATTTTATATTCGACTGCTTGTATTACAAAGATCTGTTACCTTTAAATTAGTTTTGCTGCTTTTAATCATGAATACAACAAATAGAAAAGAAGTGATATTAAAACAAAACCAAAAACAATTGACACAAATATTATTTTGACATGTTTAACTTGCCACATTTTTAAACCAATTTCATTTTCACTTATCTTAATTTTATATTCGACTGCTTGTAGTTTTAAGTGTCTTGGGTTTTCACTSAAATGGTTTTTACCAGCTTTTGGCCAAGATTCTGACATTTCTGTATACCACACACGTCTACGTTTAACTTAAAGAACTTACAGCAATTAAAGTAGAAAACCGAAGGTTTGGGCTTAAGAAACATTGAACTTAAATGAACCAATTGATGGGCCGGATTTTGGTCACCAGTGGGCCTGATGTGGCCCGCGGGCCTCCAGTTGAATAGCCCCTAGTTATGATACAAGACAATGCAATACTATTTGATATAATTCAGTTTATTTACAAGTCATTGTACACTTATGCACTTAACACAAACATTCATTTACATTATGAAAAAAATATTAGTAAATTTAATCCATTTAAGGAAGGCAGCAGATTACATCCAGGCCTCACTTCATTAGGTGATAAGGATTTGAAATTATTAACTGAAAATGTGGTTGGAGGACAACAGAGCTGCTTCATGKAAGGAGAACCTCAGCTTAGCCTTTTAGCTTTAGCGTTAGCTGCGAGCTAAAACATGTTAAATATATATAATTAAATAATGTCTAATTAATTTTGCTTGCTGGAGTTCCCGTTAACGTTTAGATGTTTTTATTGTGTCTGTTTTCAGGWATGAGGGACAACCGAGCAGCTAAATAAAATGTCTGAATTCAACGAACACGCTGAAYATTTTCCGCTCCATCAAATGGAGAYGACAAAAAAAATCTCAGGAGTGCAGCGAGCGAGGCGGAGTCGACCTGCGGACCAAAGATCTCTTCCTTTTTTATTTTCTGTACTTGAAGCATTTAAGACTTTTTGTTTTTACATTTCATGGGAAAAGACCACTGTCTTTGCTGTTATTGGGTGAACGTTTTGTTTCTGTAATAACTGCAGAATCCAGAAGTTTTTTTTTGTATTGTTTAAGAATGACTGAGAGGTCATTATGATATCCTGTAGCTAATTATGTAGCTAGTAGCAAATGTAAATAGAGGTACTGCAGTGCTTCAGCTGCAAAGKTCAGGTCAAAAACCTAACCTGTGTTTAAAGTTTCACTTTTAAACGAGTTTCTCTTACAAAAATCAGGCATTAGGGCACGTGTTTGTGTCTGCTCAGAGAATTAGACTGAATCATGGAATTAATTTGTCTCAAGGATTTTTATATTTTTGTCCTTTTTGTTATTTTTGTCAAAGTTTTTAAAGCTTATAGTTTATTTTTTTAAGTTTATTTCCTGTTGTTTATGTTTTGTATTTCATTACTTTGACTCTGTAACATGAGGTGAAATTGCTAAAAGTCCAAATTTTGTTTTATGGTGTTTATCAGGAATTACTTAATGTGTCTCGATGAGAACACATCTGTCTTTGTGAAATTGTTTGTGTATTTCAGTTGAGTACACTCTAAAAAACATTCAACACTTTAATAGTCAAGGCTGAGTTTGACTTTCCACCTCTGAAAAATGTATAGTTTTTAATTTGCCTTCCAGAATCATTTTCAGTTCTTATTGACTAACCTGTAAAATTGCTTCTTCAGGTACAATACTTGAAATAAAACTGTTTTTGACATGTCAACACTATTATAAAAAAGGCTGAAAGTTGCATACTTACTATTTTTTGTGATCTTTCTCTGAAATATTTTATCATTTTACTGAGTTTTAGCTGTGCTCTGCAGTTATTCCAACAATGCTGCACGTTGGGAGGACATTTTGCTATCACAACATTAAAAACAAACACACAAAAAACCCTCATTTATAAATACGTTTGTTTATAAAAGTTAACAAAAAGCTGGTGTAAAAGATAAAAAAAAACTGTATGAATGTACACACCTGTATTTGTGAAGAGGGTGCCTGCACCAGTATCTGTAAAAATGTCAGTGCTAAATGTGTCATCAATCATGTGACAAGTTCTAAAAGTGATTAGCAACTTGACTAAAAATGAGTGTGGGGGGAAAAGTATGGAGGTAAATTTGTGTTTTTATTATTCAATCAAACAAAAAGCATATTCAATCAAAAAAAATAATTCCATAGAAAAGCAGCCAAAGCACGAAAAACAACAAAAAAAGTATGATGAACTGTTGATCAAAATACATTATTACAAGCATCTTGCTTCTTGAAAGCAACAAAAACAAACAGATGACTTAAGAGTTTTGCACAGTCGCTACTGGGCACTGATTGTGATAAAATTTTATTCTTAATAGTTAAGATGTGCTTAAAAAATAGCTATGCTACGTTATTTTCCCCAGATTTTCCATTTCTTATCTCAGGTCTTTCTCCGATGACACCCCCCACCCCCACAAAAAAATAAATAAAAGTAAATAAATAAAAAAAATCAACTTCAGGTTTTGATGCCACAAATAATTTATTATAAATAACAATAAACCAATAAATTACAAACCATCAAATAAATACATTTTAAATAAATAAATAACATTCCTTCATGTTTGGGGAATACATTCATAAAGACTGGCCAAGACGGCCTACACTGCCTTCTTTAGCAACAGTTAGTCTGTGCTGGAACTCAGAGGAGTCGTAGCTTCAGACAGTTAGCTTATGCCTGAGCAGCACACAGATTTGCAGCTTTGTTTGGTGTGAAACACCACACATTCAGTAGTTACGATGGTAGTGAAGGATTATTAGGACTTGTGATAAATAGAGGGAAAGCCTGTGCTTTTGACTGGATTGATGGTGATGTGGAAGTTTTGGGACTTTTTTTTTTTTTTTTACTTCCTATGGTCCCCTGAGGAGATGTACCCCATGGCTCTGTTGATGGTGATGGCACGGACATGGAAGCCCCTCATCATCTTACACATCTTCTGTCGATTCGTATAGGAGTCGCCGATCCACAGAACGGCGGCCTCCACCTGAAAGACAAACAAAATATGGAAGAATGACTCATCAGTTTCACAAGGAAGTTCCGCCCTCAAGTCCCAAGAAATAAAACAACAAAAACACAAGGAGTTAAAAGAAGAAAAAAAGGTTTTGATTTCTGTGACCACAAGACACAAACCAGGAACAAAAAAACAAAAGGAGAAATAAAAAAATACCTCTGTGGAATCACTCTCTGCACTTGCTGTTGTGGAGCAGTCCTGAAGAAACCAAGAAGGCGTTTGTCAGACAACGACAATGAGCCTATGTTATTTCCCAGGAGATTCTCCTGACACTATTTCTTTCTRTCTGACAATATGACAGCACACACCTTCCTCAGGTTCTGGACGAATGTCACAAATGGTAGCAGAAGATTCTTTTCTTTCTTTTCTCTGTGGAGTGGGGTCTGGAGGTAGGACTGGATGGCAGCTTCATAGTAGGCCAAGTCCTTCATGATGCTCCTCAGACACTCGCTCTGCGGAGAGGAAGAGAGAAACGTGAGGCCCTGATGAAGGGATCAGAACGTGTTTTTAGTGAAAACACCAACACACCTCACTGAAGGACGAGTCTCTTTGCACCGCGCAGCTGCTGTTCTGGAAGAGAATTCAAACATGAGATGTTGGAGTCGAGAGGTTTTATTCACTCCATGTGTTCTTCTCGAGAAAAGATGTTATCTAAAGAGAATAATCTTTTATTTTAAAAAAAAGATGTTCATAGTGCAAAATAGGGTGTGTTTATTGTGTTTCACCCAGTACTGTCTTTAATTGGTAAATGGACTGTACTTAAATAGGGCCTTGCTATTCAACCAGAATACTCAAAGGGCTTTACACTACAATTAGTGTCCTTATTTACCCATCCACTCAGCTCTCTGCAAATCATATATGGAGACTAATCAGTGCTTTAAATCACATTCACACATGAACGGGTTGTTCCGAACTGTAACTTCCCTTCATTGGATCAATAAAGTTTCATTCATTCATTCATTCATTCATTCATTCATTCATTCATTCATTCATTCATTCATTCATTCATTCATTCATTCACTTATGAAATATCAGAGGCAGTGGGGGTTCAGTGTCCTGCCCAAGGACCCTTCAACATATGACAGTGGTATCGAACTTCCAACTCTTGCCTTGGAGGACGACTCCCCTAACCAACCACACTGTAAAAAATGAAATGTTGGATTTATTTAACCATGTTATGTTACCTGGTTCCACTTAACTGAGTTGAGTAAATTCAAAGCAACATACTAGTTTTTTAGCCAAAGAACATGAGTATGTTGCTTTGAATTTACTCAACTCAGTTAAGTGGAACCAGGTAACATAACATGGTTAAGTAAATCCAACATTTCATTTTTAGAGTGCAGCCACAGCTGCTCAAACCTGAGGATGTTCTAAAAGTGACGGTTGTTCCTTGATGGGACATTTTCAGCAGGCACTTCTGAGTAGATGTTTGAGAGCTTCAGCCCTTTGTTGGATTGTGATGTTCAAAAAGTGTCTACACGTCTATCAYTTTTAAAAGTCTAAATCACACTCTAAAAATGAAATGTTGGATTTATTTAACCATGTTATGTTACCTGGTTCCACTTAACTGAGTTGAGTAAATTCAAAGCAACATACTCATGTTCTTTGGCTAAAAAAACTGGTATATTGCTTTGAACTTACTCAACTCAGTTAAGTGGAACCAGGTCACATAACATGGTTAAGTAAATCCAACATTTCATTTTTTACAGTGCACAAATTTTCCTTTTTATAAGCCTGTTTTTTTTGTCTCTTGATTCCTAAAATCACCAGGATTCATAGAACTGATGACAATTTTATGTCACTTGAAAATAAACCATCTTTGATAAAAGTGCCTTTAAAGTATTTACACTTTGTACTGATGGGAGTGACAAAAGTTGCTGATCTGATTAAGGACAATTTGAACCCTAAACGCACATTTTGCCCTGAGACAACAGTTGTTGTGACTTGGCGCTACATAAATAAACTGAATTGAATCTTATTATCGAAAGTTGCTTCTGTATAAACTGCAGAATGTTTCAAACTCTTCTCAACCATTGCAAAAGAAATAAAGAATATTTTTTAAACACAGGTTTATCAACCTTTTGTCCTGAAAAACAAGTTAAAATCGTAGAAATATATTTCTAAGCATGTCCTGTGTCAACTTCAAATCCAAAACTCATTCAAGGAATTTGGATTGGACAGGAAAAAATAAATAAAAATGAATAAAAAAATAAATAAAAACTATCTTAAAATGAACTGAGTCATTTTTTTCTTAAGAAACAACTTTATTACGTTGTTTTCTGAAGAATAAATTGAGACACTTTACGTTTTAAATAGTAGCTCAATGGATAAGAAGCGGTACCTGAGTGGGCGCGCAGGCCTGCACGGTCTCCATGCTCGGGATGGTGGAGGTGATCTGATTGTCACACAAATCCTGCTGCGACAAAAAGGTAAGTTTTTCACTATGAGCCACGCGGAGATGGGAAACATTGGATTAGAATGAAATGAACAACAGAACAGTTGCTCACCGTTTCAAAAAGACCAGTGATGTCTTTCAGGAGGGTCTTGAAGAGCTTTGCGCACTGCGCGCGGTTTGCGCTCGCATCGGGCAGCGGCAGCGCGCCGGACGTGCGGCAGCTCAGGCTGAGCAGCAGCAGCTGCAGCACACAAGAGGCGAAGTCTGGAGACACAAAACAGCATCAATACTTGGATGTATACATTTCTCTGACAGTAGAAAGGATACACTGAAAGAAGCATAAAGATTTGGTAAATGTGCGCAGACTTACAGAGATGAAACTTGGCCATTTTTCTGATCCTGATGGAAACTTGATGAACCTTGTCAGGCAGTAACAACAAACTGCTGCCTCCATCTCAAGAATCTGTTTTATAGACGAGTTCGGTG